AAATGCAGTTCCGAATACCCCAAAAATTAATCGGGACCACAAAAAATGGGGGGGGTCACCGGGAGGGACCCCCCGGAAAAACCCCGGGAGAGGGGGAGGAATGGGGGAGGAGAAACGGCCCCAAAAATGGTTCAGAATGTCCCAAAAATGGCTCAGAACGCCCCAAAAATGGTTCAGAACCCCCCAGGAATATCCCAAAGTGTTGGGGAGCCCCAAAAATTAATCGGGACCCCAAAAAACGGGGAGGTCACCGGGAGGGACCCCCCGGAAAAACCCCAAAAAATCCCGGCAGCGGGGGAGGAACGGAGGAGGAGAAACCGCCCCAAAAATGGCTCAGAATGTCCCAAAAATGGCTCAGAACGCCCCAAAAATGGTGCAGAACCCCCCAGGAATATCCCAAAGTGGTGGGGAGCCCCAAAAATTAATCGGGACCCCAAAAAATGGGGGGGGGGTGACCGGGAGGGACCCCCCGGGAAACCCCCAAAAAATCCCGGCAGCGGGGGAGGAACGGAGGAGGAGAAACCGCCCCAAAAATGGCTCAGAACCCCCCAGGAATATCCCAAAGTGTTGGGGAGCCCCAAAAATTAATCGGGACCCCAAAAAACGGGGAGGTCACCGGGAGGGACCCCCCGGAAAAACCCCAAAAAATCCCGGCAGCGGGGGAGGAACGGGGGAGGAGAAACGGCCCCAAAAATGGCTCAGAACGCCCCAAAAATGGCTCAGAACCCCCCCAAAAATGATTCAGAATATCCCAAAAATGAATCGGGACCCCAAAAAACGGGGGGGTCACCGGGAGGGGCCCCCCGGAAAACCCCGGGAGCCGGGGAGGAATGGGGGAGGAGAAACGGCCCCAAAAATGGTTCAGAATGTCCCAAAAATGGCTCAGAACGCCCCAAAAATGGTTCAGAACCCCCCAGGAATATCCCAAAGTGTTGGGGAGCCCCAAAAATTAATCGGGACCCCAAAAAATGGGGGGGGGGTCACCGGGAGGGACCCCCCGGAAAAACCCCCAAAAAAATCCCGGCAGCGGGGGAGGAACGGGGGAGGAGAAACGGCCCCAAAAATGGCTCAGAACGCCCCAAAAATGGCTCAGAACCCCCCCAAAAGTGGTTCAGAATATCCCAAAAATGGTTCAGAATATCCCAAAAATGAATCGGGACCCCAAAAAATTGGGAGACCCCAAAAAACCCCCGGGAACAGGGAAGGAATGGGGGAGAGGGGAAGGAGGGAGAAACAGCCCAAAAAGTGCCCCAAAAATGGCTCAGAATCCCCCAAAATTAATCAGGGACCCCCAAAATTAATCATGGAGCCCAAAATTCCCCAGAACCCCCCAAAAAATTAACTGGAAACCCCCAAAAATGCCCCAGGACTCCCCGAAAATTAATTGGGAACCCTCAAAATTAATCAGGGACCCCCCAAAATTAATCAGGGACCCCCAAATTAATCAGGGACCCCCCAAAATTAACCAGGGAAACCCGAAAATTAATCAGGGACCTCCCAAAATTAATCGGGGATGCAAAAAAGTTTCCAAAGACCCCCCAAAATTAATAAGGGACACCCCAAAATTAATCAAGGCCCCCCAAATTAATCAGGGACCTCCCAAAATTAATCAGGGACCCCCAAAATTAATCATGGACCTCACAAAATTAATCAAGGACCTCCCAAAATTCCGCATGGTCCCCCAGAATTAATCAGGGACCCCCCAAAATTAATCAGGGACCCCCCAAAATTAATCAAAGACCCCCCAAAATTAATCAGGGACGCCCCAAAATTCCTCAGGGTCCCCCAGTATTAATCAGGGACCCCCCAAAATTAATCAGGGACCCCCCAAAATTCCTCAGGGTCCCCCAGAATTAATCAAGGACCCCCCCAAATTAATTAAGGACCCCCCAAAATTAATCAGACACCCCCAAAAATAATCAGGGACCCTCCCAAAATTCCTCAGGGTCCCCCAGAATTAATCAGGGACCCCCAAAATTAATCAAGGACCCCCCCAGAATTAATCAAGGACCCCCCAGAATTAATCAGGGCCCCCAAATTAATCAGGGCCCCCCAAATTCCGGCCCCCCACCTTGTGGACGCCGGTGACTTTGGGCACGTAGGACACGGAGAACGTTCGGTTCTTGTCGTTGTTGGCCACCACCTTGGCCTGGGGAGGGGTCACCGGGGTCAGACCCCCCCAAAACCCTTCGGGACCCCCCCCAAATTTAAAAAAAAAAAACAAAACTCCCCCAAAACACAGCAAGTGCCACCAAAAAGCACCCAAAACCCGCCAAAAACCTCCCCAGAAACTTGGCCAAAAACCCTCAAAAAAACCCCAAACTCCACCAAAATCCCCCAAAAATACCCCAAAATCCAACAGGCAGAGACCGATCTTAGCCCAAACCCCCCCAAAATACCCCCAGACCTCCCCAAAACTCTCAAAGAAACCCCCAAAACCCTGAAAAAAACCCCAAGTACCCCCAAAAAACCTCAAAAAAACCCCAAACTCCACCAAAACCCCCCAAAAATACCCCAAAATCCAACAGGCAGAGACCCCCCAACCCCTAAATCCTCCCAGACCCCAACCCTGAGCCCCCCACCCCAAATTTCCCAGATTTCCCTGAATCCCCCAGTCCCAAAACCCTCAAAAAAAACCACCCGAAACTCCCCCAAAATAACCCAAAATACCCTAAAACCCCCCCAAAAGTATCAAAAGGAACAGAACACCCCAAAATACCCCAAAACCCCCCAAAATCGCCCAAAATACCCCAAAACCCCCCCAAAATACCAAAAAACAACCATGGGCAACCCAGGAGTTGAAATGTGAAGTTCATAGCCAGACCTCCCCAAAACTCTCAAAGAAACCCCCAAAACCCTGGAAAAATAAAACAAAATACCCAAAAAAACCCTCAAAAAAACCCCCCAAAACTCCCCCAAAACCCTCAAAAAAAACCCCCAAAACCCTCAAAAACCGCCAAAACACCCCCAAAATACACCCAAAAACCCTCAAAAAAAAAAAAAAAAAACAAAACAAAAACCCCCCCAAAATACCCCAAAACCTTCAAAAAACCACCAAAACACCTCCAAAATACCCCAAAAGCCCCCTCAAAACCCTCAAAAAAAACCAAAAAAAACCCCAAAACTCCCCCAAAATACCCCAAAACCTTCAAAAAACCACCAAAACACCTCCAAAATACCCCCAAAGCAGGACCCCCCAGGACCCCCCAAATCCCCCCGACCTCCTCGCGGTGCCCGTCGGGGTCCTCGACGTAGACCAGCACCTCGCCCTGCCCCGCGCTGATCGTCTCCACCGTGAACTCGGCGCGCTGCTGCACCAGCTTCCCGGTGGGCTTGGATCCCTGCGGACCCCAGACTCAATTCGGGGTCCCAGACTGACCTCGGGGGTCCCAGAGCCACCTCGGGGGTCCCAGAGCCATCCCAGGGGGTCCCAGAGCCACCTCGGGGGTCCTAAACCCACCCCAACTCCAGCCAGACTCAGGGCACTGCTGCACCACGTTCCCGGTGGGCTCGATCCCTGAGAGACCCCAGACTCAATTCGGGGTCCCGGACTGATCCCCCCGACCTCCTCGCGGTGCCCGTCGGGGTCCTCGACGTAGACCAGCACCTCGCCCTGCCCCGCGCTGATCGTCTCCACCGTGAACTCGGCGCGCTGCTGCACCACGTTCCCGGTGGGCTCGATCCCTGCGGACCCCAGACTCAATTCGGGGTCCCGGACCCACCTCGGGGGGTCCCAGAGCCACCCCGGGGGTCCCAGAGCCACCCTGGGGGTCCTAAACCCACCCCAAGGCTCCTAAATCCACCCCAAGCCCACCCAAACTCGGCGCACTGCTGCACCACGTTCCCGATGGGCTCGATCCCTGAGAGACCCCAGACTCAATTCGGGGGCCCGGACCCACCTCGGGGGGCCCAGAGCCACCCCGGGGGTCCCAGAGCCGCCTCGGGGGTCCTAAACCCACCCCAAGGCTCCTAAACCCACACCAAGCCCACCCACACTCAGCTGCTGCTGCACCACGTTCCCGATGGGCTCGATCCCTGAGAGACCCCAGACTCAATTCGGGGGCCCGGACCCACCTCGGGGGTCCCAGAGCCACCTCGGGGGTCCTAAACCCACCCCAACTCCAGCCAGACTCAGGGCTGCTGCACCAGCTTCCCGGTGGGCTTGGATCCCTGCGGACCCCAGACTCAATTCGGGGTCCCGGACTGACCTCGGGGAGTCCCAGAGCCATCCCAGGGGTCCCAGACCGACCCTGGGGGTCCCACACCCACCCTGAGGGTCTCAGAGTCATCTCAGGGGTCCCAAACCCACCCTCACGTTCCCGGTGGGCTCGATCCCTGCGGACCCCAGACTCAGTTCGGGGTCCCGGACCCACCTCGGGGGGTCCCAGAGCCACCCCGGGGGTCCCAGAGCCACCCTGGGGGTCCTAAACCCACCCCAAGGCTCCTAAATCCACCCCAAGCCCACCCAAACTCGGCGCACTGCTGCACCACGTTCCCGGTGGGCTCGATCCCTGCGGACCCCAGACTCAATTCGGGGTCCCGGACACACCTTGGAGGGTCCCAGAGCCACCCTGGGGGTCCTAAATCCACCCCAAGCCCACCCAAACTCAGCTGCTGCTGCACCATGTTCCCGGTGGGCTCGATCACTGCTGGACCCCAGGCTCAATTCGGGGTCCCAGACCGACCCTGGGGGTCCCACACCCACCCTGAGGGTCTCAGAGTCATCTCAGGGGTCCCAAACCCACCCTAAACCCCCTGATCCCCCCCAAACTCCGCTGCTGCTGCTGCACCAGCTTCCCGGTGGGCTTGATCCGAGAGACCCCAGACTCAATTCAGGGTCCCGGACCACTCCCCAGAATCCCTGATCCCCCCCAAACTCCGCTGCTGCTGCTGCACCAGCTTCCCGGTGGGCTTGATCCCTGAGAGACCCCAGACTCAATTCAGGATCCCAGACCACTCCCCAAAATTTGGGAGGTCCTGCCCTTCCCGGGGGTCTCAGGCACCCCCCCCCTCACCTGGCCCACCAGCCCTGGACCTTTCTGGGGTCACATTTGGGGCTCCCCATTGCCCATCCCCCAAATTCAGGGGTCTCAGCCCCCCTCACCTGGCCCGTAGGCCCAGCCCCATTTCCCATCCCCCACCCCCAAATTCGGGGGTCCCGGGGGTCTCAGCCCCCTCACCTGGCCCGTAGGCCCTGAACCTTTTTGGGGTCACCTTTAGGGCTCCCCATTTCCTATCCCCCAAATCCTTTGGTCCCCATCCCCACCTCCCACCCCCCAAATTCGGGGGTCCTGGGGATCTCTGGGGGTCCCGAAGTCCCGGGGGTCTCAGGCCCTCCCCACCTGGCCTGTAGGCCCAGCCCCATTTCCCATCTCCCACCCCCAAATTCGGGGGTCCCGGGGGTCCCGGGGACCCCCCCTCACCTGGCCCGTAGGCCCGCGCCTTCTTGGGGTTGAGTTTGGGGCTCCCCATTTCCCATCTCCCACCCCCAAATTCGGGGGTCCCGGGGGTCCCGGGGACCCCCCCTCACCTGGCCCGTAGGCCCGCGCCTTCTTGGGGTTGAGTTTGGGGCGCAGCGGCGCCCCCGGCTTGAGCTTGGCCTTGGGGAACTGCGACAGGTACGTCATGACAGAGTGCTCGTCCACGTTGGGGTCCACGATCTCCTCGGGCGTGATCACCTGCCACGGGCACGGGGACAGGACAGGGACAGGGACAGCAGTGCCACCTGGCACAGGGATGGGGACAGGGACATTGGCATGGGGACAGGGACAGGGACATCATCTCAAGGACATCAGCCCAGGGACATCAGCACAGGGACAGGGACAGGGACATCGGCATGGGGACAGGGATGGGGACGGGGACATCAGCACGGGGACGGGGACAGCAGTGCCACCTGGCACAGGGATGGGGACATCGGCACGGGGACGGGGACAGGGACAGGGACAGCAGTGCCACCTGGCACAGGGATGGGGACAGGGACATTGGCATGGGGACAGGGACAGGGACATCATCTCAAGGACATCAGCCCAGGGACATCAGCACAGGGACAGGGACAGGGACATCGGCATGGGGACAGGGATGGGGACGGGGACATCAGCACGGGGACGGGGACAGCAGTGCCACCTGGCACAGGGATGGGGACAGGGACATTGGCATGGGGACAAGGACAGGGACATCATCTCAACGACATCAGCCCAGGGACATCAGCACAGGGCCAGGGACAGGGACATCGGCACGGGGACGGGGACAGGGACAGGGACAGCAGTGCCACCTGGCACAGGGACAGGGACGGGGACATCGGCACAGGGACAGGGATAGGGACATCATCTCAAGGACATCAGCCCAGGGACATCAGCACAGGGACAGGGACAGGGACATCGGCATGGGGACAGGGACAGGGGACATCAGCACAGGGGTGTGTGCCACCCCCACGTGTGTGTGGCACCTGGGACAGGGACGGGGCCAGCCGAGGGGCAGTGTCCCCAGTGTCCCCGTGTCACTTGCCGGGGACAGAGATGGGGACAGTGGCAGGGCAGTGTCCCCAGTGTCCCCGTGTCACCTGCAGGGACTGGGACAGGGACAGGGACAGGGAGGCATCCCCAGGTGTCACCAGAGCAGGACACGGATGGGGACAGTGGCGGGGCGGTGTCCCCGTGTCCCCGTGTCCCCGGGGGGGTCAGGGACAGTGGTGGGCGGTGTCCCCGTGTCCCCGGGGGGGTCAGGGACAGTGGCGGGCGGTGTCCCCGTGTCACCTGCGGGATGCCCAGCCACTCCTCGGCCTGCTGCATGGCCTCGCGCGCGTTCTCCACCGGGCGGCTCGGGTTCCACGAGTCCCAGTCGGGGCACAGCCCTGGGGACGGGGACAGCGTCACCAGTGCCCAAACCAGGGTCACCAGCGTCACCAGTGCCCGTCCCAGTGTCACCAGTGCCCGTCCCAGTGTCCCCAGCGTCACCAGTGCCCATCCCAGTGTCCCCAGTGTCCCCAGTGCCCGTCCCAGTGCCCATCCCAGTGTCACCAGTGCCCATCCCAGTGTCCCCAGTGTCCCCAGTGCCCGTCCCAGTGTCACCAGCACTGCCATACCCGGGACACAGCCCTGGGGACAGGGACAGCGTCACCAGTGCCCGAACCAGTGCCACCAGGGTCACCAGTGTCCGTCCCAGTGTCCCCAGCATCACCAGTGCCCATCCCAGTGTCCCCAGGGTCACCAGTGCCCATCCCAGTGTCCCCAGGGTCACCAGTGCCCATCCCAGTGTCCCCAGTGTCCCCAGTGCCCGTCCCAGTGTCCCCAGGGTCACCAGTGCCCGTCCCAGTGTCACCAGCGTCACCAGTGCCCGTCCCAGTGTCCGTCCCAGTGTCCCCAGTGCCCATCCCAATGTCCCCAGCACTGCCATACCCGGGACACAGCCCTGGGCATAGGGACAGGGTCACCAGTGCCCATCCCTGTGTCCCCAGTGCCCGTCCCAGTGTCACCAGCATTGCTGTACCCAGGGCACAGCCCTGACGACAGGGACAGGGTCACCAGTGCCCATCCCAGTGTCCCCAGTGTCACCAGCACTGCCATACCCAGGGCACAGCCCTGGGGACAGTGGGGACAGGGGTCAGCCTGGCCCCACTGCCCTCCCAGTGTCACCAGTGTCACCAACATCGCTGTACCCGGGCACAGCCCTGGGGACAGGGACAGTGGGGACAGGGGTCAGCCTAGACCCGGTGTCCCCAGTGTCCCCGGTGTCCCCGTGTCCCCGTGTCCCTCACCTGGGGCACAGCTGTCCACCAGGGCCCCCAGGGCCCTGCCGCTCTGCCAGTCCTTGCTGAAGTTGGTGATGGGCAGAGCTCCCGGTGCCCATCCCAGTGCCCATCCCAGTGCCCATCCCCGGTGTCCCCAGTGTCCCCAGTGTCCCCAGTGTCCCCGGTGTCCCCGTGTCCCCGTGTCCCTCACCTGGGGCACAGCTGTCCACCAGGGCCCCCAGGGCCCTGCCGCTCTGCCAGTCCTTGCTGAAGTTGGTGATGGGCAGCTGCGGCAGCCGGTTCTGGATCCAGCCCAGCAGCCGCTGCTTCGGCGTCTGGCGCTTGGCCTCCTCCTCATCCTCCTCGTCCCACATGGGCATGGAGATGGAGTAGTGCAGGATGAGCGTCCAGATCAAACCCAGGATCAGCTTCAGGTTCCCGTCCACGATGGCTTTGCTGTCTGTGAGGGGACACAGGGACATGGGGACATCAGGGACAGCGGGGACAGCGGGGACACTGGGGGTGTGTGAGGTATTGGGGACACTGGGGACACTGGGGAGGGCACAGTGCAGGATCAGGGTCAGGATCAGCTTCAGGTTCCCGTCCACGATGGCTTTGCTGTCTGGGGGGGGACACGGGGACATCAGGGACAGCAGGGACAGCAGGGACATTGGGGACATCAGGGACAGCAGGGACATAGGGGACAGCAGGGACACTGGGGACATCAGGGCCATCAGGGGACACAGGGGGACACAAGGGACAGGGACATCAGGGGATGGGGAGACATGGGATGTGGGGGACACCAGGGAATGCCCTGCAGGGATTGGGGACACTGGGGACACTGGGGAGGGCACAGTGCAGGATCAGGGTCAGGATCAGCTTCAGGTTCCCGTCCACGATGGCTTTGCTGTCTGGGGGGACACGGGGACATGGGGACATCAGGGACAGCAGGGACAGCAGGGACAGCGGGGACATCAGGGCCATCAGGGGACACAGGGGGACACAAGGGACAGGGACATCAGGGGATGGGGAGACATGGGATGTGGGGGACACCAGGGAATGCCCTGCAGGGATTGGGGACACTGGGGACATCTCGAAAGGACAGGGGACACCTCGCAGGGACAGGGGACACTGGGGACACCCTGCAGGGATTGGGGACATTGGGGACACCTCGAAAGGACAGGGGACACCTCACAGGGACAGGGGCCACTGGGGACACCCTGCAGGAATTGGGGACATTGGGGACACCTCGAAAGGACTGGGGACACCTCGCAGGGACAGGGGACACTGGGGACACCCTGCAGGGATTGGGGACACTGGGGACATCTCGAAAGGACAGGGGACACCTCGCAGGGACAGGGGACATTGGGGACACCCTGCAGGGATTGGGGACACTGGGGACACCTCAAAAGGACAGGGGACACCTCACAGGGACAGGGGCCACTGGGGACACCCTGCAGGAATTGGGGACATTGGGGACACCTCGAAAGGACTGGGGACACCTCGCAGGGACTGGGGACATTGGGGACACCCTGCAGGGATTGGGGACATTGGGGACACCTCGGGGAGGTGACAGCTCAGTGCCACCACAGGGCTGGGGACAGGACACGGCTCAGGCTGGGGACACCTGGGGACACCTGGGGACACGCTGAGGCCACAGCACGGGGGTGACAGGGACACCAGGGGGGTCCTGCTGGGGACAGGGGGACGCTGCCGGGGCTTTTGGGGTCCCCATGAAGAATTTTGGGGTCCCGGGCGTGTCCCCAAGTCCCTGTCAGCAGTTTTGGGGTGTCTGGGTGTGTCCCCAAGTCCCCTCAGCGGTTTTGGGGTCCCGGGCGTGTCCCCAAGTCCCCTCAGCAGTTTTGGGGTCCCGGGCGTGTCCCCACACCCCCTCAGCAGTTTTGGGGTCCCGGGCGTGTCCCCACACCCCCTTAGCGGTTTTGGGGTCCCAGGCGTGTCCCCACACCCCCTCAGCAGTTTTGGGGTCCAGTTCCCGTCACTGCCTTTGAGGTTTTGGGGTTTTGGGGTTTCGGGGCGTGGCCCCGCCCCCCCCGCGCGGTTTTTGGGGTGTCCGGGCGTGGCCCCAAATCCCTTCTGGGGTTTCGGGGTGTCAGGGAGGGCTCCCAGCTCCCGCCACTGCTCCGGGTCCCTTTGGGGTCCCTTTGGGGTCCCTTTGGGGTCTCAGGGCCGGGCCCCAAATCCCTTTGGGGGTTTTGGGGGTGTCCGGGGTGTCCCCAGTTCCCGTCATGTCCGGGGTGTCCCCAGTTCCCATTACAGTTTTTGGGGTCCCTTTGGGGGTTTTTGGGGTGTCCGGGGTGTCCCCAATTCCCGTCACTGTTTTTGGGGTCCCTTTTGGGGTTTTTGGGGTCTCGGGGCTGGTTCCCAGACCCCGTTCCCGATTTTGGGGTCCCTTTTGGGGTTTTGGGTCTCTCGGCCGTGTCCTCTCCCTGATCCTGTTTTTGGGGTCCCTTTTGGAGTCCCTTTCTGAGTTTTTGGGGTGTCCGGGGTGTCCCCAATTCCCGTCACTGTTTTTGGGGTCCCTTTTGGGGTTTTGGGTCTCTCGGCCGTGTCCTCTCCCTGATCCCGTTTTTGGGGTCCCTTTTGGAGTCCCTTTCTGAGTTTTTGGGGTGTCCGGAGTGTCCCCAGTTCCCATTCCCGTTTTTGGGGTCCCTTTGGGGTTTTTGGGGTGTCTGGAGTGTCCCCAGTTCCCATTACAGTTTTTGGGGTCCCTTTGGGGTCTCAGGGCCAGGTCCCAAATCCCTTTGGGGGTTTTTGGGGTGTCCCCAGTTCCTGTCACTGTTTTTGGGGTCCCTTTGGGGGGTTTTTGGGGTGTCCGGGGTGTCCCCAGTTCCCATTCCCGTTTTTTGGGGTCTCTTTTGGGGTTTTTGGGGTCTCGGAGCTGGTTCCCAGACCCCGTCCCGGTTTTTGGGGTCCCTTTGGGGTTTTTGGGGTGTCCGGAGTGTCCCCAGACCTCGCTCCGGTTTTTGGGGTCCTTTTGGGGTCCCTTTGGGGTTTTTAGGGTGTCCCGAGTGCCCCCCGTCCCCGTCCCGGTTTTTGGGGTCCTTTTGGGGTCCCTTTGGGGTTTTTGGGGTGTCCCGAGTGCCCCCGGTCCCCGTCCCGGTTTTTGGGGTCCCTCTGGGGTCCCTTTGGGGTTTTTGGGGTGTCCGGAGTGTCCCCAGACCCCGCTCCGGTTTTTGGGGTCCTTTTGGGGTCCCTTTGGGGTTTTTGGGGTGTCCCGAGTGCCCCTCGTCCCCGTCCCGGTTTTTGGGGTCCCTCAGGGGTCCCTTTGGGGTTTTTGGGGTGTCCCGAGTGCCCCCCGAATTTGGGGGGGGGTCTCACACAGATCCCCCAAGGTGGGATTTGGGGGGAGGGGAGGGGTCTCCAAAGCCCCGCCCTAAATGTGGGGGGGGTCCCCAAAATATTCCTGGGGGGGTCCCATAAAGGGGAGGGGTCTCAGGACCCCCCTTATCACTGCGGGGTTATTTGGGGAGGGGTGTCCGCGCCCCCCGGGACCCCCCCAAATTATCGGGGGGACTTCGCCCTCTCCAGGACCCTCCCCCAATTTTGGGACCCCCCCCTAATTTCGGGGTCCATTTTGGGGGGGGTCTCCCCATCTGGGACCAGTTGGATGCTCCCCCTCTTGGAGACCCCTCCCCATTTTTGGGGTCTCCCAGCGGATTTCCCCCCCCCATTTTTGGGCTCGTCCACGACCCCTCCCCAATTTCCGGGGCCTTTTGGGGTCGCGGTCCCGCCCCCTCCTCACCACTAAAACCAGTTCGAGCTTCCCTTCCCCAGAGACCCCTCCCCATTTTGGGAGTCTGGGGTCTCCCAGTTGCCCCCCCCCATTTCTGGGGGTCCTCCAGGAGCCCCCTCCCCAATTCCCGAGCCCATTTTGGGCAGAATTCGCCGCTTTTTTCACCACCAGGCCCCGCCCCATCCTCCTCTCCCCGGGACCCCTCCCCTTCCTCCGCGGGCCGGGGGTCCCCCAGCAGACCCCTCCCCAAATTTCAGAGCTCCGGGCTCCTCCAGGAGCCCCCTCCCCAATTCCGAGCCCATTTTGGGCCGAATTCATCGCTTTTTCACCAACACAAACCCCTCCGAGCTCCCCAAAATCCCATTTTCGCCACAATTCCCACTCCCCCATCCCGCCCCGAAGCCCCCGGAGTTTTTTGGGGGGTGGTCGCACGCCCCCTCCCCAATTTCCGGGGCCGCTTTCAGAGCTTTTCTCCTCCTTTTCACCGACACAAAACCCTCTAATCTCCTTTTTTTCCCCCAAAAAAATCCCAATTCCTGCACAACTCCCACCCCCTCCCCAAACTTTTTTTGAGGGGTGGTCTCACGCCCCCTCCCCAATTTCTGACCCTCTTCTGACCCTTTCCACCCTTTCCTCACCACTTCAACCTCGTTTTTTCATCCAAAAAAACCCAAAATCCAAACTCCTCTGTACCTCCCACCCCCAAACTTTTCCCGGGGGGGGCCGTGGTGGCCCCCTCCCCAATTTCTGAGCTCCTTTTAAGACGTTTCCTCCCCAAACCAACCACTCCAATCTCCTTTTCCCCCCAAAATCCCAACTCCCCCACAACTCCCACCCCCTCAAACTTTTCCGGGGGGGTCTCTCACGCCCCCTCCCCAATTTCTGACCCTCTTTTGGGACCTTTCCACCCTTTCCTCACCAGCTCAACCTCATTTTCCTCCCCAAAATTCCAACTCCCCCACAACTCCCAGCCCCCAAACTTTGCCGGGGGAGTCTCTCACGCCCCCTCCCCAATCTCTGAGCTCCTTTTAAGACGTTTCCTCCCCAAACCAACCACTCCAACCTCCTTTTCCCCCCAAAATTCCAACTCCTGTAACTCCCACCCCCCCCAAACTTTGCCGGGGGGGTCTCTCACGCCCCCTCCCCAATCTCTGACCCTCTTTTGAGACCTTTCCACCCTTTCCTCACCATTTTTACCCCAAAATCCCAACTCCCACCCCCTCCCCACTCTCCAAACTTTTCCGGGGGGGGGTCTCTCACGCCCCCTCCCCAATCTCTGACCCTCTTTTGAGACCTTTCCACCCTTTCCTCACCATTTTTACCCCCAAAACCCCAACTCCTCCGTAACTCCCACCCCCCGGGCCGCCCTTCTGGCCCCCTCCCCATCCCCTGTCGCCCCCCGACCCCTCACCGATGGACACCAGCTTGATGTTCTCCCTCTCCAGGAACTCCAGGGCCACCGAGACGTTCTCCAGCTGCATCTGGCGGAAGGTGGGGCGCGCGTTGTACTTGCGGCCCATCTGCTTCTGGCTCAGCACCTCGAGCAGCGCGATCAGGCGCAGCCCGTCGCCCAGGTCGGTCTGCAGGTTGCCCACGCGCTTCTGGACGCATTTGAGGTGCTCGTTGCACCAGCGGGTGAAGGTGTTCTGCTGGATCCGCTTCCAAGGGGCGTCCTCCGCCAGGTCCTTCTCGGTGGCCGGCATCTCGGCGGGCTCGGCCGGCTCGGCGCGGCCCCGCCCGCCCGGCGCGCTCATGGCGGGGCCGGGGCGGGGGCTGCGCGGGGGGGGAGGGAGGGGAGTTAACGGCAGGGCGAAATCGGGGAGCTCGAAACCGGGCAGCGCTCAAAACGGGGGAGCAGGATAGCGGGGGGTTGGAATAACGGGGAGTGTTAGTAACGGGGGATGCTAATAACGGGGAGTGTTAATAACGGGGGGTTGGAATAACGGGGGGTTGGAATAACGGGGAGTGTTAATAACGGGGGGTGTTAATAACGGGGAGTGCTAATAACGGGATACTAATAAAGGAGGAGCCTGATAATGGGAGATTCTAATAACGGGGGATGCTATTAATGGGGAGTGTTAATAACGGGGGATACTAATAACGGGAGAGCCTAATAACGGGGGATCCTGATAACAGGGGATTCAAATAACGGGGGAGTAACGGGGGATCCTAATAACGGAGGATTCCAATAACGGGGAGATTCTAATAACGGGGGATCCTGATAACAGGAGATTTTAATAACGGGGAGATTCTAATAACGGGGGATCCTGATAACAGGAGATTTTAATAACGGGGAGATTCTAATAACGGGGGATCCTGATAACAGGAGATTTTAATAACGGGGAGATTCTAATAACGGGGGATCCTGATAACAGGAGATTTTAATAACGGGGAGATTCTAATAACGGGGGATCCTGATAACAGGGGATTTGAATAACGGGGGAGGAACGGGGGATCCTAATAACGAGGGGATCCTGATAACAGGAGATTCTAATAACGGAGGATTCTAATAACGGGGGATCCTGATAACAGGAGATTTTAATAACGGGAGATACTAATAACGGGGGGGCCTGATGATGGAGGATTGGAATAACGGGGGATCCTGATAACGGGTGGGTGTGATAACGGGGAGTGTTAATAACGAGAGACCCTAATAACGGGAGATCCTAATAATGGAGGATCCTAATAATGGGGGAGCCCAAAAATGGGAGATGCTAATAACGGGGGATCCTGATAACGGGGGAGCCCAAAAACGGGGGATCCTAAAAATGGAGGATCCTAATAACGGGTGAATGTGATAACGGGGAGTGTTAATAACGGGAGATCCTAATGATGGGTGAGCACATTAACGGGAAATATTAATAATGGGGGATCCTGATAATGGAGGATTCTAATAACGGGGGACCTCAAAATGGGGGAATCTAATGATGGGGGACCCCAAAACCAGGAGGTCCTGATAATGGGGGATCCTGATAACAGGTGAGTGCCATAATGGGGAGTGTTGATAACGGGGGATCCTAACAACGGGGGACCTCAAAAACAGGAGATCCTGATAACGGGGAATCCTGATAACGGGAAATCCTAATAACCAGGGATCCTAATAACAGGGGATCCTAATGAAAGGGGAGCGTGGTAATGGGGGATCCTAATAACGGGGGACCTCAAAAACAGGAGATCCTGATAACGGGGGATCCTGATAACGGGAAATCCTAATAACAGGGGATCCTAATAACAGGGGATTCTAATAACGGGATTCTAATAAAAGAGGAGCGTGGTAATGGGGGATCCTAATAACGGGGGAAGATCCAGAATGCGGGATCAGGATAACGGGAGAGTGCGTAATGGGGGACCCCAAAACGGGGGATCCTAATAATGGGGGGTCCTGATAATGGGGGATCCTATTAATGGGGATCCTAATAATGGGGGATCCTAATAATGGGGGATCCTGATCATGGGGGATCCTGATAATGGAGTGTCCTAATAATGGGGGATCCTAATAATGGGGGATCCTAATAATGGGGGATCATGATAATGGGGGATCCTAATAATGGAGTGTCCTAAAAATGGGGGATCCTGATAATGGGGGATCCTATTAATGGAGTGTCCTAATAATGGGGGATCACGATAATGGGGATCCTATTAATGGGGGATCCTGATCATGGGGGATCCTATTAATGAAAGAGCCCAAAACGGGAGATCCAAAAAAGGGCAATGCTAATGAGGGAGGAATCTTAATAACGGGGGAGCCCGTAATGAGGGGCCCTAATAATGGGGGAGCCCAATAATGGGGAGCCCTAATAACAGGAGATCCTAATAATGAGGGATCCTAATAACGGGGGATCCTAATAACGGGGGATCCTAATAATGGGGGAGCCCTAATAATGGGGGAACTCATAATGAGGGGCCCCAAAACGGGGGATCCCAATAATGGGGAACCCCAATAATTGGGGACCCTGAAAACGAGGGATCCCATAAATGAGAAAGCCCCACAAGGAGGGGATCCCATAATGAGGGACCCCCAAAATGAAGGGAGCCCGTGATGGGGAAATCCCCAGAGTGAGGGACCCCCCCCAATAACGGGGACCCCCTGAGCATCCCCATGGGGCACCCCCAAAATGAGGGACCCCAATAACGAGGGACCCCCTGAGCATCCCCATGGGGCACCCCCAAAATGAGGGACCCCAATAACGGGGACCCCCCCCAATGAGGGGCCTTCCCCGAGCCCCCCCTTTTGGGGCACCCCCGAACTTTGGTGGCCTCCAGGGGGCCCCAATTTGGCGCGACCCCCAGTTCTGCCCCCCCAAATTGGGGGGGTCAGGGGAGGGTCCCCGCCCTGTTGCCCCCTCCCCATTCCCGGGGTCCCAAACTCCCCCGGAAGGGCCCCCCCGATCCCAAACGTGGCCCCCAATAGGGACCCCCACCCCAAAAAGGGGGTCCGGCCACCCCGGGCTCCTCAGAGCCCCCAAAAAGGGGGGGGGTCCCGTTCAGAGGGGTCCCCCAACCCCATTAGGGGGTCCCCAGCCCCATTTTGAGGCGCTCTCTCAAAACGCCCCCCCCAGGGGGCTCTCAAGGGGGTCTCGGACCCCAAAATCGGGGTCACCCCTCAGGGGGGCCCCCAGCCCCAAACTCGGGGTGCCCCCCCCCAACCAAAGCTCCCCCAAACCCCGCGATCCTGGCGGGGGTTCCCGGGGGTCCCAGGGGGTCTGGGGTCTGTTCCCGGGGGGGTCCCGGGGCTACTCGGGTGTCGGGGTCCATTCCCGGGGGGTCTCGGTCGTTCTGGGGGTACCCGGGGGTCTGGGGTCGGTTCCCGGGGGGGTTTCGAGGGTCCCGGGGGTCCCGACCTGAGGTCGGTCCCTGGGGGGATCCCGGGGGTCCCGGGGCTCGGTCCCCAAGGTTCGGGGGTCCCGGGGGTCGGTGCCACCCAGGGGTGCCGGTCCCGCTGGTCCCGGTGGTCCCGGGGGGAGGCGGTCCCGGGGGGGTCCTCACCTGGTGGTCGGTTCGGTGTCCTGGGGTCGGTACCGGCGGTCCCGGGCTGGCTCCGGGTGGTCCCGGCGCTCCCGGGGTGGGTTCGGTGGTCCCGGGCTGGTCCCGGTGGTCCCGGGGGCTGTTGGTGATCCCGGGGCCGGTCCCGAGGGAGGGTTCGGTGGTCCCGGTGCCGGTCCCGGTGGTCCCGGGGCTGTGGCCGGTGCCGGTGCTGGTCCCGGGCTGGTCCCGGTGGCCCCGCGCGGTGGCGGTGCCGGTACCGGGGGCTCGCGCGGCGCGCGCGGAGCCTTAATTGGTAACGAGAGGAGCGAGCCCCGCCCCGGGGGGGGGGGCAGAGGGGTTAATTAAGGAAAGAGTCATTACAGGGGGAGGTGGGGGGTTAATTACTGGGGAGCTCATTAATGGGGGTTAATTAACACGGGGAGTTCTGCGGTTAATTAATGGGGAATTAATTAATTTGGGTTCATGATGGGGTTAATTAGTGGGGAACTCATTAATGAGACTCATTAACAGGAGCTCCTTATCAGGTTAATTACTGGGAGTTCATTAATGGGGGGTTCATTATGGGGTTAATTACTGGGGGCTCATTAATGGGGGACTAATTACTGGGGGTTCATTAATGGGGGCTCATTAACAGGAGTCACTAATGAGGCGTTCATTAACGAGGCTTTAATTACAACGCTGCTGACAGCCTTAATGAACCTGCCGGGCCACGCCCCCACCTGGGCCACGCCCCTCGGCCACACCCACACCTGGGCCACGCCCCTCTGTCACACCCACACCTGGGCCACGCCCACCCCGGGGTCACACCGGGGTCACCCCTTGGGTGGGGTCAGGGCCACGCCCACCGGGCCACACCCACACATGTCCCGCTCATTTGGCCACGCCCACCGGGACACACCCCCGAGGCCACACCCACACCTGTCCCGCTCATTTGGCCACGCCCACCGGGACACACCCCCTGGACCCGGGCCACGCCCACCTCGGGGTCACACCGGGGTCACCCCTTGGGTGGGGTCAGGGCCACGCCCACCGGGCCACACCCACACATGTCCCGCTCATTTGGCCACGCCCACCGGGACACACCCCCTGGGTGGGGCCAAGGCCACGCCCCCTCACGTGTCCCCTCCCGCCACAAACGGCAGCGCAGAGAGCGAGGAACGGGGGAGGGGACACACCTGGGGACAGGGACACACCTGGGGACAGGTGTGACACTTGGGGACACACCTGGGACACACCTGGGGACAGGTGTGACACTTGGGGACACACCTGGGACACACCTGGGGACAGGTGTGACACTTGGGGACACACCTGGGGACAGGGACACACCTGGGACACACCTGGGGACGGGTGTGACACAGACAGGGACAGCTGTGACTCTTGGGGACACACCTGGGGACACACCTGGGGACACACCTGGGGACGGGTGTG